CCCCCCCCCCCCCCCCTCCTCCTGCCCCCGGGCTCTCCTCTGTGCTTTTGGCTTTGCTAAACTGTCTTGCGGGTTGCGTTTGATCCGCTCCCCCCTCCCTCCCTCCCTCCCTCCCTCACCCCGTCTCTCCCAACGATGAAGCAGTTTTTGACGGGCCTGTTGTGGCGGAGACGTGCCAGTCCTTCATGTTTCCCCCCCCCTCGCCGCCGCGGCCGGGTTTGTGTGGAATGAGCTTGAAGGATGGCTTTCTCCCAGCCGGTGGCCTTGCTTTGTGATGTAGAAAACGCCAGGTGTGGATGCCTGTCTGTTCCACTCGGCTGGCGCTCCCTCTCTTCCTCACCGTGCCTCAGCTTCATCGCCCCCACCACCACCACCACCACCACCGGCGCATAGCGAGCCCTCGTCACTCACTCTTCCCTCTCTCCTGTCGTCCCCCTCCCTCTCTCCCTTCCCGTCCTCAGAGCGGCTGGAGCCGGGCGCCTCGGTGACGGTGTCCATGGGTATCGACTTCAGCGACTCCACGCAAGCAGCCAACTTCCATTTGTGGTAAGCCGGCGCGACACCTGCTCACACAGCCTCCGTTCTCCTTCCTCTCCCACCCCCCCCACCCCCACTCCAGCGTCTCTGTGCCAGCACTCCCAGGTGAGACATCAGCCACAATTGATCCCGGTTCACTGGGATAACAATTATTCCTCCTCTAATCAGCCTGGTCCAAATCAGCCCGCCGAATGCCATTGGCAGCGCCGCTCGGCCGATCAATAACCTTATCAGAAAATCTGTTTGAGATGGGGGAATCAATCCGGCCCAAAATGCCATCCGCAGAGCGTGGTTTGCAAAGCAATCAGAGGAGAAGCATCGCACACACGCGCGCAAAGCAGACGCGCACCCACGAGGACACGAAACGGGAGAATTCCTGTCGTGGTTTTGCATGCTCCCCCCCCCTCACTGTCAGCATTACAAGGCACACTTACATTTCTCCGTTTTTGATTCGGAACCAGTGATCAGAAAGCTCAGTGCTTCACCACCTGAAGGTTTGAGCTCACACATTTGCTGCGTTTAGGCCCTTTCCACACATATACAGCATGCCTTTGCCTCAGATTACTCAGGAGGTCAGAGCTTAGTTTTGCTAATGTGTCGCTAAGCCATCACCGTTCACCAGCAAAACCCATATGCCTGCAAATGAGGAGATGAAATGACAATACTCTGAAACTAAACACAGACTGATCCCTCATAAAAACCTGCTGAAGCCGTTCGCAAACATAAAGCTCTCCTTCTTGGATGAACGGTTTCAGGAAAACCTCTTTTTTATTCCTTAAATCGCACTCTTTCAGAAGACCGGAGCGCAGCGGCTCCACACCTGTCCAGGCTAGTCAGAACCGGGTGCACATGGAGTTAAAGCCCCTGTTTTTCCCTCCCCAGCACCAAAGAGGACCAGTTCAGCGTGTCGGTTCAGCCGGCTGTAGGCGAGCTGCTGATGCCCAGTGCCATGACCGAGCCGGACTTCTGCAGGGAGCAGGGTGAGTTCAGATGTAGGCTCTCACAGTTCAGTGGAACAGTTCCCAGATTACGCCGATGTGGAGAGGTCGCGATCATGTTTTGACATGCAGCGCTCATCTGTGACCCTGTATTTATGCTCTCTGTGGTTTAACTGTCGTAACAAATGCGGTCCAAACAGGGAGAATTCGTAAAAGTGCAGCAGTTATAGTATAGGTGTGTTTTATCAGCTTTTGTTCGCTGGTCTAACATTTTGCATCTTCTCAGGAAAGCTCCTGGGCATGAACGAAACCTCAGCAACCATCACCATGGCAACAGCCAACGCTTCCAGCCAGGCCGTCACCAAGCAGGTCCAGTCCGTAGCCAACGTGGGAGTGGTGCCCTGCAGCCAAAACGGCCTCCACAGGTGAAGTGCATCTGCTCTGGAAACGTGCACCCTAATGGGCCTGATCCAGCTCAGTTAATTCTGACTTCATATGAGGAGCCCAAGGTTTATTAACGACAATGTAGTTAGTTATGAAAACAAGACGGAAGTTTGACATTACTCAGAAATGATTCTGCTTCACAATTTAAACCTTCAATAGACTACATGTAAATGATTTTAAAAAATCTTTTTACATGTATTCAATTAAAACACGCATTCAGCCCAGTTTCTGCCAAAGGAAGCTACAAAATATATAAATGAGAGCTTCTTTATTGGGAATTTGGCCGTTAGTTCATGCTAACGATTCCCTGTTTGCAAAAAGCTGGAAAATCTGAGAATTTACATAAAATGTATCAGATTTTTCTGTCATCGAAAGACTTTTGATGTCCGAGAAAGGGGGGAAAAAAGGTGTGAAAAACCACTTGTAAAAGGTTTGGAGCCGCACGTGTGGCTCCCCACACGGGCCATCGAGTGGTATTTACACAGGACAGAGTCAGAATGAGTTCGGAAATGTTACTCTTACCCAAATTATTAGTCTGTCCAGTGTGAGAGCAACACGAGTCCATTAGAGCCGCGTCTTTTGTGGAGTTTTGTCGCTGCCAGGGGAATGCTCTGAGACGCCTGCCTGTGTAATTGGTGTACACAGAGTGTGCTAATGAGCTTCCTCCTCTGTCACGCACACCCGAACACCTGATAGATAATTACACCTCCCGCTCCCCCTCTGCTTCTTGCTCCGTCTCTCCTTCAGTTTATTTCTGCACCCCCCCACCCCCCGTCTGTCTCTTTTTCACTTCCTCTTTGTCTTTCCATCCTTCCCTCCTCCTCCTCGTTACCTGCTTGTTTCTCTGTCGTTCTCTTTGAGCCATCTTGTGCCTGTGATGATTTCTTTATAGATTTCGGCCGGAGCCGAGGCAAAATGTCTGATTTGTTGGATAAATAAGGGACAGGAAGGAGTCGGAAAGAGAAAAATGGTGGGGGTGGCAGGGGGGGCTCTCTGCACAAGTGCAGAGAGAGCTGAAAGAGTGAGTGGAAATCAATGGTAACCAGTGGGAGAGGCCTGCATCCAATAAGCCCATTCTACATTCAGAATAACCAATAGCTGAAATGACTGTTTTTGTGAAACTGGCCCAGCTTCACTTCGTCTGTTTGGCCCACCGTGACAACCAGCTCTTCCACAGAGGTCCATTCGTTTGTTTCTCGCCCTCTGAATCTCAAGTAAAGCTGCCCAGCAGATTAGATTGTATATTTATATATGATTTAACTTTAAGAACCCTCTGAAATACAAGACCAGGCTCATCAGCCTCCACCTCTCACTCTTCTGGCCCACACTTTTAGGAGGCCTGCATCAGAAAACAGGATTCTAACCTTCCTAAAATCTTCTGTGAGAGGAGAGACGTTTTTAAGCATGTTGCTTCACCCTCTCATTTCATTAAGAGGCTGTGAAGACGTGGAAAATGCATTCCTGCTGCTGCTACGGTGGACAGTCCTGGTCTGGCTCACAGCGACCAATGGTGACCTCCTGATTCTTATCATTTCTACACAGAGCAGAGGTGACGAATCCTGTTTTGTTACTGTTTTATAAATGAAGAGGAAGTGGGTGAAAAACCCTTCGACCGATCCAGAGAGTTTGTGTTCAGTGAGCTGTCCCCGGTGCCGAGCTCTGTGTGAAACCTGCTGCTGTGATAGGGCAGTCCACTCCTTTCCTGGTCACTTCCGTCCTCAGCTGACAAAAGCCTTTCTGTGTTGACGACTTTTCGAGCCGCAAGACACGCAGCAAATCTGAAGGCCGCCATCGACTCCGGAGGCGATCACGCTCTCCGGCCCAGTCGGAAACGCCTGCGCTTGATCCAAAATGGAGGCTTTCAAGATGGCGGCCGCCTTCCGGTCAGAGCCCGAAAGACGGGCCTCCTTTCCCTTAACGTTTTGCCATTTTTGTATCCCGAGACCTTTGGATTATTTCACACAGGATTCTGCAGAGTAACATGTTTTTAAAGTGTCACTCATTTCTAACAGCTGCTGCAAACTCCCCCCAAAACTTTTTAAGCCATTACGTCGAAGCCTTTGCAGCAGTGCTGCTGTAATTGCTTTGAACAACACACGCGTGCACACAGCAGAGTGATCGATCGGATCGGATACACCCACTGAGAGCTTATTGTAGAGGTCACTCTGCATTACGGGTGATGGGCCCAGGCCTCCTCTCCTCCTTCTCTTCCTCCCATCCGTCCTGACGGAGGCCTTCAACTGCAGATCCCAGAGAGGACCCGCTGTGTCGGTCCCGTTCGGCGCCCGTCCGCAGAGGAGCCCGGCACCCGCCGGCTGCACTGCCCCCGCTCGGCAGCAGGGCGCAGCACTGCTTTTCCCAAACAGCCACGGAGCCCAGCACAGGGGGGTGGGAGATGGGGCTGGGGGGCTGGGGTGGGGATGTTGCCACTGAAACACAGAAATTGATTGCTGGAAAGGAGGATGGCAATAAATCAAGCAGGAAAGCAAATGTAGAAAACGCTGTTCTTGTTTATGTCTAAACAGGCGGAATAGAATAAATGTGCTCCATTTTTCAGTCCGTTTGAAAGCAAATTTGATCGGATTTTGCATGCATTGCCAATCCCTCTGTTTAGAGCCTAATTCTGGAAGGGGGGGGGAGGGAATAAAAATCTGAAGCCTTTGATTTATAAGCTCTGCTTCCTTTAACAGTGGAGTTTAATTAGATTATGTTTGCAAAAGCAGGATTTTCCTGTTGTAACCTGACTAATGAAATACACAACCCCCCCTCCCTCCCTCTGTGTGGGGACTCTTTAGGCAGAAACTGTCACCGTGTGTCTTCAGATGGGGGGGGGGGGGGAGCACCAGCAGGGTCGTATCCTTCATATTTGGGCCCTTTTCTCTTCATTCCTGTCCCCCCGCCCGGATGGCCGTGTGGAGGACTCCCCGCTCGTAATTGGGGCTAACAGCTTTGGACATCTGCCTGGTCCGAGCCGGCCCGCTCGCATTCTGCCCCGCTGACCACTCAGCTGAAGGACGCTCTGCCTCCGGCCGAGGAGCAGCTGAGCACATCCGGCTCCGGCTCTGCTCGCCTCCGATTTTAACCGGAGCTCTCCCCACAGCAATCCAACACGCTCCAGTTTCGGTGTCCTCGTCCCCGTGTCCTCCAATGCGCAGGCGAATGGAAAGGCGAAGCCCGGCGGAGTGGGGGGGGGGGCAGATGGCACGCACGGGCTCTCCACGCTGAGGAGAATCGGGGATAATTGGAGAGCGATGCTTAGCCGCAGCCCCGCCGATCGATGCCAATCCACCTGCTCTAAGACCAGGGCTTGTGCTTTGCTTTTCTCTCCATACACTGCAATTAATCCAGTGTTTAGCCCCCGAATGTGGAGGGAGCAGAATACCAACGACCCGTTTAAGGCACGGCCGACCTTAATCGCTCCCGTCCAGTCCCTAAAAACGCATCGATGTGGTGTTGGAGCCAGATGTTTTGTTTTGTTTAGTCTTTTCCCCCCTCCCCGACAAAACACAAGAAAAAGCCTTTAATGTGAATGCTCTCAGAAATCAAAGCCAATCAAAGGCGGCGGCGTTTCTTTCCCTGGTTCCTCCGGCCGCTCAGGAGAATAAGTACACGGCAGCGTCTCCCCAGACGGAGCTGGAGCAGCCTCAGGGTGGTGTTAACTGGCTGAGTAAATGATAGATTTATATCCTAAATCCATTAGCAAAGCCACAGGGACCTCATACACACCTCGGGCTGCTGACAGAGGGCTGCGGAGGGGGGGTCAGAGAACGAGATGTTGCATAAAAACGATTCTTTTTTTAAAAGCAGCTTTTTAGGGTTTAGCCTTTTTAAGGGTGGGAGGGAAGCCCGACAGAAGCCCCGGGCCTCTGGTGAACACAAGCGGAGCTGTGGGGGGGGGGGGGGGGGGGGGGTGGGGGTGGTGATGGGGAGGGGGTTGGTCCACTTTCATGTTGAAGTGGCTAATATTTTAATTAAGTCAGAGGATGGACTCTCTTTTCCTCCCTGAGAGCTTCCTGATAAACTCCCTCTCCTGTGTTGATGGTAATTTAGCCGCTCCCCGGGGACACACCCAGACACACCAGGCCGTGTGAGCCAGCACGGCCTCATTGTGTGCTCCCCCCCCCCCTCTGCGTCTCGGAGACGTGCGTGCTAATTGGCGGGTGAGTGAGCGGCTCTGGGCCGGGCAGCGCGGGCCTCTGTGGCCTGTCCACCGGCCGGCCAGCGGGGGCCCTCCACGGGCTTCAGTCAGGCCTAAGTGGAGCTCTTTGTGGGCTGTTTGTCAGGCCTAAGCAGGCTCCCGCGGGGGGCCTTTGTTGTGGGGATGTAGTGCTAAATGGAGGCAGATGGCTGGGAGTTAGCCGCGTGAGGAGGGGGGGGGGGGGGAGCCCCAGCTAAGCCCCGTCACCCCTAAAGGGGGTCACTCCGGGTCACAGCCTCTGTCTGCCTGTTGTTAGCGCTCTCAAAGGGGACCATGTGCGCCCACATTTGGCCCGGTCCGCATGGATGGTATCCAAGGAAACGAGGCAGGGAGAATTCCCCCCGATGGCCCGGAGGGAGCTGGTGGGACGGGGGCATCCCCCCATACTGGTCCCCAAGGCTCCCACACACTCAGACTCTGGCAGTCCATTAAAAGCGAGCTGAGTTCAGTTTGACTGGCACGGAGGGCGGGTTCCGACCCCGACAAAAGACTCTGCCGCTCCGCTCCCAATCTACTGTCGCATCCTCTTCCCCCTTTGTCTCCTCCTCCAATTTAGAGTATTTACAAGGTGTAAGCTCTATGAAACGAGGATTTGCGGGTTTTAGGAAGTGTGCTGCGGTAACGCTGTGCCTCCAAACAGGTGAAAGTCAGACAGAGTGGAATGGAAAACAGCATCCAAACTGAGCTTGAAGATTAGAAATAAAGCAGCAAAAAGCATCTGCGACATGCTGACACTACTTTAAGTCCGGACCTGGTATTGTTTCCTCATGTGGGAAATAAAGATTGAACATAAATTGAGTTTTCAGGTTTGTTTTTCTTGAATTTTTTGATAAATAAGCTGACTTTTCTTTTATAAAAATGGGCATATTTAAAGTGTCAGACTGATGTGTGTCCCACTGCACGCCGCGGCCTCTCCTAAACCAAATGGCTCTCTTCTCCCTTTAGGTTTGCCGGGCAGACGGTCAGCAGCGGGGCTCTGGTCCTGGTGTCTCTGGAGCTGAAGGAGTCCTCCTCCGCTCTGCTGACCATCAACACAGATAAGAGCATCATGGCGTCCATGCTGCTGCGGGACCTCAAACAAGCCCTCGTCCAGCCCTAAACCCCCCCCCCCCCACAAAAACACATACACTCTAGTCTCTTTAGTATTTACAAAGGGGAACGACTCCGAACTGAAGATTTCACATATTTCTGAAACGTTTTGGGACAGTTGACGGCATTGATCAAGCTGCTGACAGTGGAGAAATTGTTTTCTATTTCCCTTTTTTTTTTTTACAGTTTGTCTTTGTTAGTTTTTTTTTGTCCTGAAACGTTTGGTTAAATATGTGGAAGTCTTCATGGAAAGCGTTGAACCCCTAAAACAGACTAAGTAGTCATCACGGTAAATTTCTCCATGAATGGAGCCCAAATCAGAACCTGACAGAAGAAAAAACCCACACTCCTCTCTTCATGCTGTTCGCTAAAAACGTAAATTTGTGAGAAAATTCCGACTCATTCGGGGGAGCCAATACATCGTCGGTGCTTCGTTTGACTTAATTGCCAAATCTCAGTTAGGTTTACACGTCCTCCTTTAACTCTAAACCTCTGGAAGCTTTAGTGGTCTCAGATATTGTTGTAGTTCTGCCCTGCAGCCCTTAAATGGGCCCCAGTCGTATTAAAGTGCCTTCATCATGTCAGACGGAGCCCCTCGTTCATTAGACTCAACCGTCTTTTTATCTGTCCTCTGGAACAATAAAATGTGACTTTACCAAAACCGTTTCACCTGTGCTTTCCTTCGCTGAGCATTTCTGAGTGAAAACGTGGTCAAAACAAAAACCCAAGTTCTTATTGGCTGACGCGCGCCCAAAAAATAACCAGGTTTTAAAAATCTGGGAAATGGCGACTTTTTTCCTCCTTTCTTCTTTCCTGAGCAGATCTGCTGCTATCTCATCAGAAGCAGAACTGATTCCAGTCTTTTATTTATCCAGTGGCTTCTGAAAGTCATGGAGGGAGACTTTTTCTTTTCCCTGAACAATGTTTCCGCTGCTCATTTTCTCTAAACTGAAACTGGGGGATCAGTTTTTGTCACATATGAGCCTGATCGGAAACACTTTGTGATGGGCATTTCATGTCGGAATGATGGAAGCCTTCAATGACTTTTCAATCCCTAATTTACAGATAAGATGAACAGCGCTTTCAGGATGCTGAAAAACACAGAAAAGCCCTGAATGTGAGCCGTCTTCCTCCAAACATTCCCAGATAAACACCGTGACGTCCACCAGGATCCGAAGCCACTTCTGTACATCACCTGCCTCTGGCTGTAACGCTGTGGCTGGTGTGTGTGTGTGTGCTGAAAAGTGTGTGGAAACCACATAACAGAGGTGGAATTATCACCTCTCATCCGTTAGGTAACTTTAATGTTCCTAGAGTGTCTAGAAAGGATGGTCCTAGGAAGGTAAGCATTTTTAGGGGGGCTCAAATTGGTCATAAACAAGAATGTGTGTGTGTGTGTGTGCTGAAAAGTATGTGAGAACATAACGGGTGGAATTATCGCCTCTCAGCCGTGAGATGAAGACGCTGATTTAGGCCTCAGGATCCGGCTGTGAGAGGCTGTAAAGTTGTTTTATGTTAAATATTTACCAGCACGTGGAGCTTCTGGTGATGGATGAAACGCTCCAGCTCCACTGCTCTGCTGAAAAAAAAAGAGGGAAGGCCGGTTCTGCCTAGTCCGGGCGGAAGGACGTGATGCGGCGCGGCGGCGGCCGGTGGCGTGCGGCGCTCTGCGTCTGGCTGTCTTTTCCGGCTCATAAATAGCGTCTCTCCGAGGGCCGTGGTGAACACCTGTTAGCTCATCTGTCACAGGAGCTCCACTCGCATCCATCACCTCTCCCTCTGTACTCATTCCCTCAGCCAGCTGTTCCCATTACACACACACTCACACACACACACACACACACACACACACACACACGCTGGCCACCATCATACAGACCCACACAGAGAGGCTCAAACATGTCAGCACTCTTTACTTAGAGACCAAAACTGGCTCTCACACTCATGCGAAAACCACAGAATGGCTTTTTTTCTTTCTTTTTTTTCAAAGACAGCCACTTCTGTGTAGCATATGAAGAAATATGGACCAAAATTTAGAGTCGCTATCAGCATCCAGCAGGGGGTAGAAGCTTTTTTATCAGCTGGAAGGTGGATTTTTGGTTTCTGTATGACATAATTAGTCTCCCACATGGTTTTGGAGGAAATGGTCCCTTTTCTTTTCCAGACCTTCTGTTGTGGATCCGCAAATGCGTTTGGGATCTTTGTCCTGTTGAGGAGCCAGTTTCAGCCCAGCTTTACGGTTTCCTCAGAATTTTGGGGGGGAATTCTCCCAAAAAGTGTTCCTGCTGATACACAATTGATTAAAACCATAAAGCAAAGTGATCATGTGGAAATACATCCGATATTTCCTGACCAAAAGAAGAAATTCACTGCTGTCTCCTGTGTGGGCCGGATAGCCTTTGGTGTTTTTAATGGTAAGATATTAGGACATGCAGTGGGCTCACTATTAAATTACTAAGCTGTATCAGTTTAAAAATCCTATCGTTTCGGGGTGATAGGGTTGTTAATTAAATCCGACGAGCAAAAAGGCCAACGGAAAACCAGCAGTCGACCCACCAACAGCACAACTCCCACGCTGTTTAAAGCACTGGGATTGAATTCATTAGGAGCATAAAAGAAAAGTGCAATTAAGTGCAAGATATGTTTCAATTAAACAACGCACCGTCATGTCTGTTTGCCAGTAGAATCGAACAGCCATTTCTGGTTTCAGTCATTTATCATTCCAGTGTTTTGTGTTATTCCTCGAGGCTGCCATGGCTTCTTTAACAACGTCAGACTAATACACACATTTGTAGTATTTCTAAATAGATGAGCCCTGATTAGACTTTTTGAGTTTTTCCTTTAAAGTTAAGTCCAATAAATCAGCATCTCCGTAAGCGTTTTAAGCTCTTTGGTAATGTTGCTTTTAACATCTTAAAATCCGACTGACTTTGGCTACCCAAGACTGGACGACTTTTTCATTTGCAAAAATGTTTTGTGCACTACTTCATTTTAAATTGCTTGAGCTTATGAGGTAACATTATGCATAACGGGATTAAACACAGTTAAATATATTTATCATAAGGCAGTAAGAGGAGATGTTGTATGGTACTGTTTTTAATACACTGAATATGAGGTTTTTATGATGCCCATTTTTCTTTTAATTCATCACTTTAGATTGTTTTCTGATGGATTTTACAGGTTTATTTTTAGAATGTTTTATAATTGGGCATGCTAACATAAAGAAAATGCGATTCTTTCAATCATTAAAACAGTAATGATATAGGAGGCTTCATTTGCCATGTTTCACCTTTCCATCAAGTTCTCTTAAACTTTACTGGTCTTTTTGGTCTAATCTTAAAAATAAAACAGTGTAAATTCACTCCTCATTGTTCTTCATCACAGCTGGTTAGCATGCTGTTAGAACTTTAGCTTAAATCTGAGCTTGCAGAATTTCTTTGGCCTTTTTTTCCACTTTATCATTTAAATTGACATTTTGTGGAATGCCTTGCTGGAGATATGTCCCTTAAACTTTGGAAGCACATAAAAAATATGCAACAATCATAATCTAAACTTACGCATCGGACACAGGCCTGGACACAGGCCTGGTCACAGCCAGTAGAAGGCCTGGTCACCCCGAAATTTAATAACCATTACTAATAAATACCAGTCTGTAAATGGTGGGTACACATTTAAATTGATTTTCATTTCAGTAACAGGAAAATAATGCAGAAATTGTAAGACAGAACCCCCCCCCCAAATGCTTCAAGATCATCCAAATTTGATAATTTTTACAGCCATTTCAGGCTGAATGGATTTTTCGTAGAGCAATTTTTTTTTTCCTGCTGTTTTTTTTGTTTTAAAGATATTTATGCGGCCCCCCCCTATTCAGGAGATGAGACGGCTGAAAGTAGTGAAGTTGCTATCCCGGACGGGGTTTTGAAAAGATTATTTGAACGATAAAATGTTGTCTGAAAATGATGGAAACCGCGTGCGGGGGGAGATCCATCCCCCGGGTTTGGCACCCGCTGTAATGGGCTCTGGGGAGGGAACGAGGGAACGAGGGGGGGGGGGGGGGGGGGGTGCCTCTATTCCCCTTCAGCTCTCCCTCAGCGCCGCGGTGCAGTGACAGCTTGATTCGGCTGCCTCTATGGGCCGCAGCACACGGTGACATGAAGGGCCTGCTCTGATCACCATCCCTGTGTGAGGAGAGACGGAGGGGGGGAGGAGGGGGGGAGGAGGGAGGGGGGGAGGCAAATAAGGGATACTTGAGGAAACGCCTGTCTAACCTTACCGGCGAGAGCAACTTCTCATTAGCCGGGACGTGTCTGATCAGCCCCTCGTAGGGTTGACGGGGAGCCAAAGGCATCGGGGGAAGACGCACCACGCAGCAGGGAAGCCATCATCATCATCATCATCATCATTACGCCAAGCCAATCATCAGCTTCATCAAACCGATCCAGTCACAACCGAGGTCGCCGCATTCATCAGCACTGTCAGAATCTTTGCAACATGGTATAATTGTTATCAAAATCGCGAAATTGACTAAAGCAAATCTCCCGATGTCGTCTTTACTACAGTTTGAAGCATTAAAATGACACAAAACTGACTGGAGAAGTGGAAGAGCTTGCTATCTGGCTTAGAGGTTTTTTCAGACTCAAAATTGGGAATATGCAAGACAAAAAGAGGGAACAAAAAAGGGGCCTACATTAATAAAAACACTGGAAATCCTTAGAATCCTTATTAGAACTTAAGTGACTGAGTCTGGAATTGAGTTCTGGCCCCTCAGGCCCCAGTTAGCCCAGCCGGTTGCTAGCCTTTTGGCACATGGCGCTTGCCATAATGGAAGCATAAATATGCCCCCCCCAGAAAAAAGAGCAATTTGGTCCAAATGCGTCTGCTCACCTTCAATGAGGGTGATGAAGAGCCCACGCCTGCCAAAAATCAACCCCAAATCGCCCGGACGTGACCGAACCCTGGCTTTCCCTTTACCCCTTTACCCTCGTTTCAATAGGGCGAGCTTTGGAGCACAACTGGAGTCTGAATCGCGAAGAGAACCTCCTTCTAATCTGCCCAAAGTGTCCCTTTAAACCCTTTTATTCAGCGCTTCGAATCCGATTCGAGGACGGATTAATACGCGTCTTTGGGAGCTGATCATTTAACTAGCAGCTAGCAAAACGCGCAAAAATGTGCCCTCGCCTCACAAAATGTCCACACCTGCCTGGTGGTGGGGGGGCATCTGGGGAAAAGGTGTCAAGATTCTCACAAAATAACCACTCTGCGGCTCCCTCCGGCCTCGGGGACGACGATTGGAGCGATTAAGCTCAAATTGAGGCTTCGTGTCTCCCGTTTTGTAATTTCTCTTTCGGCCGTAAGTTTCCTTTAAATGCTTCTTCAAAGCATGGAGACTAACCACTACATGTTTCCACACTGAAATGTTCAATCAGAGGCTGAAGGGGGGGGGTGGAACGCAGACACGTTCGACTCGGCTGATTTGATTTTTCACTTTCCTTTTTCGGTGTCCCACATTTATCAATCGAGAGTTCACGGGAGACGAGAAATGGGTGAAAAAATGGGTGAAAGATGCCAAAACCCACCTCTCATCGGTCTCACTCCCTCTGCTCGAAAGGTCAAAGGTCACGGAAGATTTGATGCACATTTATTTAGATTTTTTGATA